ATATATATTTCAATTGTTTGATATTTATGCAATCGTCACACTGCAGCATAGGCATCGCGTTCATTCATGCATTGAATGGCCCCAATAATATTATGACACACCACAAGCTGCTCATGTCACAACTCTCTCCGTGTAGGAACTCTAGATGCTTACAGCGCCTACGGGAAGAGGATTCTTTAACTAAAAACCAACACTTAATTTTAAATGTTGTAAAAATGTAATTTTTTGATTATTTATTCAGGATACGGTAAAAAGTACCAAAAGCGGAAAAAGTTAAAAATTATGCAACTGAGACCACGCACTATTGTTAAACATTTGACTTTGATATGTCAACTAAGTTTTATCTTACAGTGACGTCACGCTTCTTAAGGGGGTGCACAATGGGACCTGTAAAATATTTTAAAAAAAATATTAAGTAAAGTTTATTATGTTAATATGGCATAGTCAAAAATCCCCTCTAGATACAGAAATAATTTTAGGTCCCTTTAAAAACACGTTTAGAGTCATTAATCTAAAAGATACTACAGAAAGAGTGTTGCAAAGTATCTATTTAGGGACTGAGCCCTCATCGTTCGTTGCGCTGCAACGGGCAGCGCACGTGCGTTAGCGAACTTGTTTGCAACTTGTCTGTAAAATGAAGCAATCCTATGGGGTGCCATACGCAGCAAAAGTCCATGTTAAAATCAAAATGTAATTGTAAAATTCAATGTCTAATTTGTTGTGACATCGCACGTGGTTCGTATAAATAAGGTATAATTCTATCGAGTTTTTACAACTTTTGGGGAGTTTTTATCATGCCAAACGGCGATCACTGTGCAGTGTGGGGATTTGATAAAGATCGGAGATATCCTGAAAGGTATAAATTGTTGGTTTTTTTTGTAATAAAATACTTGCTAAAACGGCCTTTTAAAGGGAGCTTCTTTGACTAAAGATGGCTATGTTTAGCGTGTATGGCGGTGCATGGAAGACGTGGATATTACTACTGTAGCATAACATTTTCACAAATATCAACCTATTTTAATTATGACTGACATATTTATTTATAAGCATATTTATTACAACACTTACACATACCATGAGGTGCAGTTGTAGTCATGGAAAGTTGATTTTCAAGGCATTATTTATTTATTTATTTATTTTTTTTGGATACCGCCGGCACTAATTTAAAGGTTTAATGTGAAGTAAACCGAGCTTTTCAGCCCAGTAAGCTTTTTCTGATAGCTCCCGGTGCTTCTTATCCCCGACAGGAACACCCCTTTCTCTCAAATAATTTTTCAAATCGGCAGATTTCCATGTTAGAAAACGCTGAATTTCTCTCGCTTGAGCCATCGTACATTACACCATACACGCGATAAACATACAGCATCGTATACACACTTAGGTCTTCTGGGTTCTGTGTTTTTTTCCCCTTTTTCGATCTCAACATGCTTTGCGCGCAATGCGCCCTCTTGCGGATTCGCCGATTCGCGATAAACGTTATGAACACACACATTACCATACACTACCACCACTACTACAGTATGTGTAACCGACGCCACGCACCGCATTACGCATTACGCAATACAGTACGCTACCATTCTACGTGAACTCATTTTTCAATATCACTCATCTACTGAATTGATATACTGGCTTGAGCAAATACGCTCACATGATAACGTGTTAATCTCATCTGCAATAATAAACTACCATTGTGTCAACCTGGAACAGTTGTGTACAGTCTGTCATTCTACCGTTATCCGAACCACTATAACAGCACAAGGCGGAGATATAATATTCACCCCTTTCTGACAAAGGGATCATATAGAATTGCCACAAGTCTCTTATTTTTTTTAATTATTTTTCTCATTCTGGACAGCGCCACCCAACGAGAAAGTTAATTTAGAGACGGAATTCGAATTCGAAAAAAAAAATCTAGTATGGGATGCCAATTAAATTAGGTATGGCGCGCACTAAGTGCAATAAAGAGTGAATAACCCAACATTAGGGCCTGGAAACCAGGCTAGCGATCATACTGCATAGGCCTACAAGCCTTTCAAGTAATGATATTTATTATAAAATAAAAACGTTATTAATGTAGTACAATGAAAATATATATATATATATAAAACCGAAAACATCCAAATTGTATAATGTGTGAATTGGGCATGGACAGCACGAAAACAATTTAAGTCTCAATACTAATTTCCCTAAAAAGTTCATATCTAGAAAAAAAATACAATAAAAATATAATTTAAAGCGCATACAAACGTGATATTCAACTCTCTTAATTTGTCCTGAATTTCAAGACTAGACAATATGTAGAAATCAAACAGTAGACATGAACGTTCATGAGCGTTTATGAAGGTTCGTGTTTCAATCAGTTTCATCTGGTAACTGCCATTTTTGCTATCCTATTGATAATATTTCTACCGCTTTGTTAGGATAGTATTTGCGGTGGGCGCACAATGCCCATGCGTCTATTTATTTTTAATATGATTTGACTGTCGATCAGAATTCATGAGCCATACACGAATTAATTAACTAACTAATTATTATGTATTATTTAACCTCACTTATCTGTAATATTTTGATGGGAGAAACACTAACCTCACTATGTTTGATTGGGAAAAAAATAACATCATCTGGCACAAGGTATTGTCTGTCTTCTGTCAATCGACAACTGTCATAAGAATTCAAAACCAATTGCCCCATGTCGACGTTACGTAGATTATCATATCCAGTACCTGAATATAGGCATTATACATAAATGTATTAGTAAATTAATCAATCAACCAATAAATCAACTGTACAACCAACTTAGCCAACTAAACAGCTAATCAACTTACCAATTATTTATTCAATAAATCAACCCTGTTGCTGATCCAGGATGGAATGGGGTGCGGGTGCGGGTGCACCGACGAAAAAAAGGACGTGGTCGGGGTGGGAAACCAGGGGTGGAGCCCCTCGAAAAATATGACAATTTAATGGTTTCAAAGGCTTATTTAATCGATTTTGGAGTCTACTAATATGTAGAAAATACACATATATTTTTTTTCTCCCCTACGATTTTTGGTTTTGGGGGGGACAGCCCCGCTGGCGCCACCCCTGGTTAACATAAACAGTACCAAACAGTTCATATTTATTCTGCTGTACTTCACTTATTGTTTTCGGTATAATTTAAACAACTTTTTAAAGCACTTCATCAATTTTGTATCCTGATTGCAATCATAAAAGGAATAACATTTTCTTGCAAATTATTTTGACATGCAATGTCTATTTTTATCGCTTCGTAATGTTGAATATTGTTGCTGCCTGTGTTATACAAACAGTGACACGTGTATATTTAAACCTTAATCAAATATTTGATGATTACAGGCGAGGCGGTAAACTAGACAATCATGTGATCCCAAGACATTAATTCTAAAGTTCACAATACAAAACACAAATTCACAACAAAAGCCATGGAAGCGGAGTAAGCGTAATTTGTCCGTTGACGCGAGTGAGCTGGTTGGTACACGAAAATCCAGGTCCTGGGGCGGATGCAGTATTTGGCGGTAGGAAGGGGTTGCAAAAATTTGAAGAAATAGTACCTATAGATGAAACGATGAAATGACACATTTATCATCATCGCATCACTATCATTATATACCGGTAGTCAAAATGAAGCGCCAACAAATTTTCATTAGGCCTATCTTTTTTTTTTCATCGGCGATTTTCGGCAACCATATAGTAGTATGTGATGAACCAAAGAAAATATAACTTACAAACATTCTCTTTGATGTATTTACTTTACCTACTTGAAAACAGTGCGTCCACAACCACCTCTGCACCACCATGGTTGGGGCTGAGGTGGGTGAGAAAATTTGAGGAAATAGTACCTTTAGATGGCCGGAAAGGACACTAGTATAATTCATCATCATCACACACCATCATGTCTTAGATAAAAGCTCCAGCAATTTCTCATGAATTCTAATTATTATGAGTGATAAACCATAGAAAAAAAAACTAGAGAAATACTTTCTTTGATGTATTTAATTTATTTGACCTACCTCAAAGCTGTGTGGGCACACTCACCTCAGCCCCACCATGGTTGGGGCTGAGGTGCAAAAATATGAAAAAAATAGTACCTCTAGATGGCCGGAATTAAATGACACTTTTAAATAGTAAAATTCATCATCATCACATCACCATTATAATATAGTCAAAATGAAGCGCCAACAAATTCTCATGATCCTTCATCAGCTACATTCGGCAACCACTGAGATCTTATAATGTGTGATGTAGAGTACCGTACCATAGAAAACACAACTTAAAAACATGTCTTTGGTGTTACTTTACCTACTTTAAAACTGTGAGTCCATACGCATCTCAGCCCCACCATAGTTGTGGCTGAGGTGGTAAAATTTGGGGAAATTGTACCTCTAGATTGCCGGACATGACACTCGGGCGAGAACGGGAAAAATTTACATAGGGTTTTCACCGGTATTGTAGTATCGGCGGTTGGTCTACCGGTTCGTGCAGAACTCGGCGTTCAAAAAAAACATTAAATGATGAATTTTATCAAGTTTCCCTGTACCTTACGTCACCCCACGCTTTAATTAAGAAACAGACATTGACGTTGGTACACTGCATAATGTTTTTGTCTCAAAATCAAGTAATGAATTGACCGAAGAAGCTACAATAATAAGCTTCATAAAGCATAGGGCCAAACCAATAAATCGCAGATGTGCATTTTGGGCGTATAATCCCAGAATAAACTTTCATTCGTTTGGCAATGGTAGGTTATATAAAACAGAAAATTACTACCATTGTTAAACGAATTAGCAGTGTGCATGCGGCGGAAATAGGGTAACACTAGATTGTAGGCTAACCTTCCGTTGAAATAATTTATTTTAACCAGCTCTTCAGTTTTGTTTTTGGAAATATTAGACTGTGTGATAAAACATGCTCCCTGCTGCGCTGCTTTTGCTCTTGCAGCGTTGGGTTATTAGCGGATATCATTATGGAGCGAGAACTGGACATGGCCGTTTCCGGATTTATACCATGTTAGACTCCACAAAAAACAAAAAAAACAAAAACAAAAAAAACTCGCCCGAACGCACCCTTATATGTAAAATTCATTATTATCGATCTAATTAATCGGTGTGATGTACCATAGGACTAACTTAATTGTCTTTGATGTATTTACTTTACCTGCTTCATGTGCTAAAAACCAATTTTGTCTTTGCACGCTTTTTCTCATACTTCTCAAAGGCACGCGCACCCGAATCTTGTATGATAGGTAATTCAGATGTTTGTGGGCAAAGTATACCGGTATCTTGCTATAAAATAAAATGTAGGCCTACTCTGGCTGTAGGGCTACCGCGCTTTTTTGTTAAAACCTGAGTAATATGCAGTTATTATTTCAACAATTTTCAGGCATATCTTCTAGATACTCGAAAAGTTAGGGGGGACCAACCCTTTCCCCTTAAAAATATGTGGGGAGGGGACGTGTTCCCTTTCCCCAATGACCTGCGCCCATGGTTCCGTGAAGAGTCCGCATCACCTCCGCCCCAACGTGGTTGGGGCTGAGGCGCGGAAAGTTTGAGAATATTGAACACTGGATGTTTTTTTAAATATTACTGATAAAAGAAATTACGAGTGGAAAAAAAAAACAAATCTTACCAGGTAGAACCTCAAAATAATTTACATCTGTTCTGCAGGTTTTTCTATCGACAAAACCCGTACCAGTTTCTACACCTTCAGTTCCAGACATGAGGAACATCAGGACCAGAAGATATGCATATTTATACATATCTTGGCTTAGTAAATTTCAAGCGAAGTACCGGTACTGAAATAAGGTGACTAAATGAATGCTATTTTCCTTACACAAGAGCTGCTGAAACTGATGCAAACACCGAGAACATTCAGATAACCCCATTTATCTGAGTTTTCTGGCTAATCGATTAAAAATATTTGTCAATCCAGGGCTTGAAATTAAGGGTTATTTGGTCGCATTTGCGACCTGATATTTTAAGGCGCGACAAGGAATTCAACTTTGTCGCGCTCAGTACGACAAGGTCATTTGATAGCGCGAGTAGATTTTGTAAGCGGCAGGAAGGTGGTTTCCCTCCAAATCCCCAATTATTTACAATTTGTACAGCCCATTATTTTCAGTCAGGCAGTACCATGGAGGTATTATAGTGAACTCACTATAATACCTCCATGGCAGTACGCAAAACATGTTATCATTCATTTTACATGTACTGTATCAACCAATCAGCATGACCTAGACTGTTAAAGTGTGACGTCGTACACTAAAATCGTGTCAATGTGCGCTCATCTTATTCTTGGTAAATAAGCGATCACCGTCAAAGCGAAGGAGACTGGTATTAAAACATCGGATTGCACGATTTTTTACTATTTTATTGAGTGCTACTCTTACCTGTACCTCCTCGTAATTGTGAACAAACAAATAGGTCTCACAGCAAATTTTGAAACCTAATTAAATGAAATAATATAGAAAGCAACTCCTTTACTACCATTTATTTACTGAACGATCCAGTCGGCTTCTGACCTACTTTTGTTCGTATCGGCGGCGTACAAAGAGTCAAATGACTTTTTGTCTGGCAACCTTGGTGTCTGTCTACCAGGAGGAGCCTGGAATTGGGAACGTTTCACTAAATGTAGTAGACGGTAAGCAGAATTATTTCATAGGCAACTATAGTAATGGGCCTCTATCAAGCAATTTATTTCGTTCTTAACAAAGTATCAGCAGAAAGTAAGCAAAATGATTGTTTAATCGTGTTTTGAAATAATATAAAAATTGAATTGTATATAAATGAATATTTAAAGATTAAATTTTAAACGTGGAATTAATAAAATGCAACAATTGAATGAATTGGTTAATTTAATCTATAAGATATATAAAAAAATATATAATTCTACAAGGAATGTTTCTTGTTTTGACAACAACAAAAACCGTAACAACCAAACAATATCGAACTAACTGGTAGTAGGCCTTCCAATTACGAAACTATATTTCGCGGAGTAACATCCCAAACCACGTGTGCGCCCGACTACACCGGCTGGCGAGTAAGGTATGTTGAGTCTATTGCAAGTTGTAAACCAATCAGAATGCTGGGATATTACATCATTCGGGGCAACTTGCAATGGTTGGGATATGTTACTCCGCAAAAACTTTGTAAACACTAGAAGTGTGACGATGTTCTCTGGCGGTTAATACTGAAGTTTCGAAGTTGGAAGGCGTACCAGTTTTTTTTTTTTTTTTAATAATTCTCAATAAAAACAACCATTGAACAAGAAAATGAAACTATAGATCGTTATATATGTAGGTATAAGATACTTTGCTGAAGTTGTACAGGTCCGGGCCTAATGTTCTAGGCTACAATATAACCTAAATAAGAAGTGTCGCCGGCCAACTGTGTGATGCCAATTTTTCGGGCTTAAAACGAAGCCTAAATGGCATTTGACAAGTGGGGAGCTGGAATCTCAGCACTCCCGAAATGTTGGTGAAAACTCTGGAACCGTGTTTAGGTTGAAATTATTATGTGTAAATTGATTTAGAGTTATCTCATAAAGAAAAAATTCCATCCACGCATATTAAAAATAAGTCTGCCAATTTCCGCGCAAATGTTGCAGTAAAGTCGGCCGTTGGCTATTGTAACCAATGTATAGGCATTCGCAGTGTTAATGCGATTCTGCGGACCTATTTTCTCGAAATTTCCTGCACAAATGAAGAAAAATACTGAAAAATTTAAAGAAAGTGTACAGAAAATATAATTAATGTTTCAGTAATAATAATTAATAATTTTATAATCAATATATCAATCCACTTAAGTAACTGCAGATTTTGGCAGTCCATTGACTAGACAGTTTAGCTAGCACATTATTACTGCTCATGTTTTTCCTTTTTTATATTGTGTATATCTGTTAATAATTAACAGAAATTTGTAATTTTCTTAGAAAT